TTCTGACTTCTAGTCATCAATGATTATGTTTCTTAGCTAAAAATTATTAGGTGTTTGGATTAGAGGATTTCATAGGAACTCCTTAGCAACTAACCAATTCTTAGTAGATTAATGTCAACTTTAATAAAATAGAATGTCATGGTTGTTACCATTTTGACAGTTTCAATAGAAACAAACCACAATTTCGGGTGTTCTTTCCTCAATAGACTAGCATCTGTGTTAAGTTCTTTTTTCCTCAGTGGACTAGTATCTATGTTAAAAAGAGTAGCAATATCACAGAACAGTAATGTATTTAGCACAGAGCCAGGACTTTGAAATCAGAATATCTTGGGTTCAGATCTCAGCCCTGTTTCTTGGTAGTTGTAATAAACATTAGCTGAATGGTTTAACTTGTATTGGTTGATTTCCTCACTTATATAAAATGAGACCAATTCTGCCTTATTGGACCATAATGAAGAATAAATCAGGTGGTATAAAGTAATGTACTTGGTGAAGTGCCAGGCACAAAGAAGTGATAGCTGTGACAATTAGCTCAGTCTCTAATAGTTACAGTGTGTATTAACCAGCTCCTATGTGCCAAGCACTTTGGCAAGCACTGAGAATACTTGTCTTATAGCCTCTGCTCATAGGGATTTTTCTTGCCTCTATAATCTCATTGGGGAGAGGGAGTGTAGGGGGTAGTTCCTGCAGTGCTGTTTATCAGGCTGGTACTTCTTAATCACAGTTCTTATTTAACTTTCTAATGAGGTATCCTCTCATTACTTGGCTAACACAAACCCATTGCCTTGAAGTGCATATGGTATTATATGAATTGGGGAAAATATTCTGTGGGTTTATATAAAAGTCAGTGATATTTGGATACCTGACATATGCCAAATATAATTTGGGTAGGGCATTGTATTTGTGCCATTGATATTATGTTGTGTTTTTCAAAGAAAATTTCTAACTTGAGGCTAATTTTCCTGGTTGTGGTTCTGCTAGATACCTAAAATTGGAATTTGAGGCCATATAAACCTAACTTGAGGGTATGACAATTTTATTCTCTTGTTTATTTGGCTAAAAGAATATCAGTTTTGATTGTCCCTGAGTGACCTTGGATTTTAAATAGACTTTAACAGATACAACCAGAGAGTACTTTGACTGACAGTCATGCTTTATTTGGATAATTCAAAATGACAGGCTAGCACTTTTTAGTACTTGGCACAGTCAGAAAATATTCATGCTATACAAATGGTTTCCCCATGGATTAGAGGTGAAAGGGTTCTATAGGAAAGGTCTAAGAATCCAGAATTGTCTTATTTTCAAATGTTAATTCTTGTCATTTTTACTATGAATACTAAGAAACCACAGGGGAATTGTGTGAACCTTTTCACAATTTAATTGGCTTAATCTAGAGGAGCCTTTAGGAGAAGGTACTAGAATGATGAGAATAAGAAGTCTGGTTGATGGGACCTGAAATTACAAGAGCCCTTGATCAAAGGTTACATTGCCTCCTAGCCTTAAAACTTTCTTACTGATAGATATCTACTGAATTATCTTGTTATATTGTGTGCACATATGGATATATAACAACAAATCCCACTATTATGTATAATTTACAATGCACTAATGAAAATAGTCAAAAGAAGTTCTTAAAAAAGCTTTTTCTTACTAATAAGAATAGTAACAATCACCTCTAATTTTGTAGAAATTTTTTTAAATCAAAATACTCAATACTGTCTCCTTTTGACAATTTTGTGTGGAGAAAATCTGATGCCATTTTCTTTTAAAATGGAAATATTAAATGAAGAGGTCCAGGATATTATACAATTGCTCTTTGTTCTTTGCTGCTGGGTGGTTATCAGTTGTAGAATCCATTTCTTTTAGCCTCTTGTTTTCTCCTTTGTTTAATCCTCTCATTCATTTAGTTTTAGAATTAGTTTCAATATCCCAGTATCCTCCAGTGAATCATTCTTTACTCCATCTTCAGTTTAATGAATCTAAAAATTAAAATTCAGAATTTTTAAGTGAAGCTAACATTTGCTTGTGGTGCCCTTCTTTATCAGAAAAAAAAAGAATAAAATAAGAAATCATTGTTTCTTTGTGAATAAATCAGTGCAACTTATGTCTTCAAATATTTGATTTTAGAATTAATTGCAAACACAAATTGCAACTTAGTTTAGATATATTACTAATCAAAGTTTATCCTCATATAATATCCTCTGCCTGTAAGTCAATGTCATTAATTGAGCCAGAAGGGAGTATGACAGCCAGAGCTATGAATTGCCATTTGGCTGTGTAACCTTTGAAGTTACTTGAACTCTCTAAGCTTATTTAGTTTTAAAGTACCCGCCCCCTCTTTGCTGTGTTCATATGAGAGTGAATATAAGCTGCTTTGTGAAAAATACTAGGAAAATAATAATTCAAATATACTGGTGACTGTGCTTTAAATGTTTTTTAAAAAATTATTTTTGTATCTGACAGTGCAGTACAATTTCAGTCAGTTCAGTTCTTTAAGTGCCTGTGCACGAAAAGTTAAAAAAGTAACATAGAAGCAAATTTCACCATACCTTTGCTGAAGATTTGCTAAATGCAAGGCAGGATTGCAGGTGCTGGGAATGTAGGATGGAGGCATGGCTCCAGACCTCAGAGAACTCACAGCCTGGTTGGAGAGATAGGTAAGCAAGCTAATAGGTAGGACAAGTGCTGCAGGTAAAAAGAGTGGAGGGGTGGGGTCTGAGAATAATTCTCTAAGGAGCAAAACTAGAGCCAAATCTTGAAGAAGATGAGTACAAGTTTTTTAGGCAGAGAACTAGAATTGGATATTCCAGGCAAAAGGGAACAGCAGAGAAGACAGAGATTAGAAACCAGCAGCAACTTGGCATGAATCAGGGGGTTCTGTCTGGAGACATAACAAGGTCCCAGATCATAAAAAGCCTTATGTGTTAGGCTTCAATGCTTGAATTTTGTTTTGACATTATTTGGGGGAAACATTTGAAAGATTTTGAGCCAGCAAATGACATAATCAAAAACATAGCTTAGAAACATTTACTAAAGCAGTTTTCTCTATTATATTTCAATCTGGTTCGTTCTAGTAGTACAGTGAAAATCAACTTCCATATCAGAGGAAACAATTATCTTGTTTAGCGTAAGTCTGTCATCACTTTGATGTTAGATACTTGTATATTTATGATCTTTGTTGAAAGCTCTGAAAATTGCCACCCAGATCTTTAAATTTTAGTAGCTCACAGGAGAAAGATACAAAGTTCATCATATCTGACAATCTCATTTCTTGTACTATTATAGCATGGGGCCAAGAAGAAAAATTTTGCTTTTGGGTACTGTCCAACACTCTCAGCCTTTTAACACAGTTGGCATGAGGATGTCATAGACATTCGTTCCAAAGCACAATTCTCACATGGTAATGATCCTTCATCATAAGTATATTGCACTTGACAGTGAACAGTAAGAAACTGCTGTTTGATGTGTTTTACATTGCACTTACACAATCTCTTTCTGTAGCTGATTTATAGAACCAAGAGCATTGGCTATGCATAACCTTATTGAGACCTCATGGCTCTGAGTCCCTCACCTCTTAAGTCAGACCGACTCCATAGTTGTCTACTTGACTGCCTATCTTCCAGCCCCATTTCTATCAATGAACATGGTAGGAGACCCTGTCTCTGAATTTGAAGAAACTTTGTAATGTGGTTTCCATACTTGTGTTCCAAGTGTTGCCCAGTTTTCTAGCATCTGTTTTAACCTATTTAGAAAGCCAATACACTCTGCCTTCACTTCCCTCCCAGGACATGGGTAGCACACGATTCTTCCTATGTAAACCAACTCCTGCTCAATAGACTGTGTTTGTACTTGTCCTTGATAGTCTTCAGAGCTTTCAGATCTACATAATTTCCTGCCTCTGACTTTATTTGGCCCCAATTTTCCAAAACACAAACATGTAAAACCAGCATGAAAATGTAGTTTACCAATGTTTTGAACAAATTCACATCTATAATGGGACAATGAGCTCTAGTGTCATTAGAAAAATATGCATGAGTTTGAGTCAGCAACTAATCATTTGTTAAACTGAATCTACCAGATATCTAATAGCTATACTGGATCTCTTACACACTTTACCAAAACATCCCTTTCAGAAAGGTTTCCATGCAGGAGTTGGACTTCAGGGCCTCTACCACACCCAAGAGTCATAGCTATTAGGGGTGGACTTGGAGTGGAATTCCAGGTATGTTCTTCTGTGTAAGTGGTCTTCCCACCATGCAACTTTGTCCTCAATAGTGAATCTTTAGATAAAGTGAACATCGTTAAATAATGCTTTACCCTGGTATAAAGCTTCAAGGTTTATAAGGTACTTTCACTTACATCTCAGTTGATTGATAGAATTACACTGTGAGGTAAGTATAATTTTCCATGCTTTACAAAACAAACAAACAAAAAATAAGGTTCCATAAAATTAAATGATTTGCATAACATTCATAAACTTTTAAAAAGTCATATTTTCAAAATCAAGAACCCTTTAAGTGGAGTACACTTGTATTGCTCACTTTATGACACTAGGAATTATTTGTTGCTGTGACCAAAGATTTACTGACTGCAAACTGATCCCCATGGGGAAAATGTGTATGACATTTCTTTTGGTCCACTTCCAGATTTCCAATGCATTAATGTTGGCTTATGCAGTCTCTCTATGTAATGTTTGTTTTTCTCCCTGATTAGATAGAACACATTCCACATATGAACATATCCAAGTATAAACTGTGCATCTGCTGCACAGGATTAATAGACAACAAACAAACCAACAACAACAACAAAAAAAATCCTTCCCTTTTGTAGGTGCTTTTTTTTTTTTTTTTTACATAGAATTTGTTCAGGATCTTTTAAAGCTGATAAGATTATAGTAATGATACATGATGTATTTTGCTTTCAAATATTTTCCCTGGTGTGGAGTATGTATACATTTTATAACTTGAATATTCATTTTAGCTATTCATCTTTTTCTTCAGGTTTTGTGATGAAGGAACCTGCACAGACAAAGCCAATATTCTGTACGCCTGGGCAAGAAATGCTCCTCCTACCAGGCTTCCCAAAGGTACTTTGGAAACTTCTTGAGGAGTGTCCTGTTTGCTGTTTTATTCTGTTTCTGAAGTCCTTTTTACATGATCCTTTCCAATAGTTGTTGATAATATTCTATGTTGCAATATAACACTAAAAAGTTTTTGCATCAGTTACTTTGTATTGACAGATTCATTTAGGTAGTTACTTTTTCTCTACTTCTCATTGGTAAGTAATTTGGCCTTACAACAATTTAGATTGAATTAAAAAATAGCCAAGTATACCTCAAGCCACCTTTGGCCTAAAAAGCACGTTGGCTCTTGTCAGCAGGAACATTTCATGAGCCAAGAGAGCTAGGAATTAAATAAATTGCTGTTTCAGCAAACAGATTTTTTTTTTATATATAGTCCTGGAGCCCAGATATTTAATGTGATGCCAAACCTCAGCTGGCTTTCTAACTTAACCTCTAAACTGTTGATAGCTTCCAGTGTGTGACTGAATTTCCAGACTCTCTTTTATTACCTGGAAGTTTCTTGATATTAAAGGGATAATGTGGTTCTTTTGCAGAATAGGTCTACTATGATTTGGGGATGGTCTTGTGATCCTCTCTTGCCTCCCTTACTCATGCCAGCATCACTAATTGATGTCTGTTTTGCATTACTTCAAGTGCGGCTCAGGATTCTGTATAGTTTATCATGTGGCTACCACCAAACAAGTTTAAACACTAATAGAGTATTTAAAATCTGTCATAGATTTGTCAGCCTTTTAAGAGCAGATGGAAAATTTTATTTTCTCTGTCTGTAAAACTTTTTAAAAAAATCTCAATAGTTGGGGCTGGAGATGTGGCTCAAGCGGTAGCGTGCTCGCCTGGCATGTGTGCGGCCCGGGTCCGATCCTCAGCACCACATACAAAGATGTTGTGTCTGCCAAAAACTTAAAAAATAAATATTAAAATTCTCTCTCTCTCTCTCTCTCTCTCTCTCTCT